TATAATTAATGTCGACAAGAAATTACTTGCAGGCATGTCCAAGAATTGGTTTGTCCGCCGAAGATTATGAAAGGAGACCTCTTTCGATTTTCCATATGACAGGTCTTACGAAGGATTTCATAGATACATTTATTCATACTGAATTCAGTTCATGGTTTCATTAGTCAGACCATCCACTAATCTAGATTTTTTATAAGAATAAGTTTTTATTTCTAAAGAAAACTACATCATCAATTTCATAGTGTAAAACTTTGTTTTTTTAACAAAGATCAATGGTTCAGAGATCTATAATTTATTCGTAATCAAAACATAATCATCAATTGGATGGTGTAATTCTTTTTTAAAAAGAATGGTCAATGGATCAAAAATCTATAATACTATATTTATTATTTTAACAGATCGTGATAAAAACACGGAAACAAATCAGAAATCAGAGACAAAGAATAAAAAAATAAAAAATGAAACAAATCTAGAACTCCGGAACAACCGTGCGGAGTGGACTTGTCCTGAACTCGAAAACAATCGAGCGGAGCGGGCGACCAATCAGAAAGCTGAGCACAACAACAATGAAAGAAAACAAATCGGCTAACGAAACAAATCGAAACTCTAAAACTACTGAACGCGGGGCGGGCAGAGAACGAGCGCGGGATATATTGGACGAATTAGGGCATGATTGGTTGCTCGAACCGGGCCGTCATTTGGCCCATCCCGCATCCTTTGGTGCATTCGTCTGTGTTTGGTTGCCCTACTCGCATGTTTCCCCTGCTTCCTCCCGTGCAGATTCGCTCCTCCATCTCGGACGTCGTCGTCTTCTCGATCCCCACTTCCCTCTCGGTGCAGGCTCGCTCGGTGCTTGGCGGGAACCTTCGCGTCGAGCGCGGGAGATGAGGCCGTCCGGGGCATAAAGCGCGTGCGCGGGTCTCGACTAGGGTTACCACCCTCACTCTTCGCCTCTCCTTCCGCCATAGCTCCGGTGCGGACTCCCGTCTTGCTGCCCCTCGACCTCGGTAGCCCTACCGAGGCGACCCTCGCCGGCGGATTTCTCTCGGTCCTCCGGCGCTTGGACGGTATATATATGCCACCTACGCTCTTCCCCTCCTCTTCTTAACTATCGATTTTTTTTGATTTGTTGGTGGATTTTGCTTGAAATGCTAAGAAATCAGGGTTCTTGGTTTGACATCCTCAGATCTGTACGATGCTATACCTGATTTACCTGTTCCTAGCTCAGATCTGTACATGATGCTTCGTATTTGGTTTATACCTCATGTTTTGTGTAGATCTTGTACATGCTAATGCCTATTTTGTTGTACACACTGGGCAAAGTGCCTAGAGGTTAATGATGTTGATTGGGTAACAGTATATGCTGGAGGAGCACCCTTTGGTGTGGCAGCCGCGTCTTTCATTGTTCATTTTGTCTGATTTTTTGCTTGCTAAGCAGTACACACCCATGTTGCATGTTCGATTTCTAATGTTGCCCTCCATCCTGTTGTGGTAGACATGGCATTTGAAGCTAGGTGAAGGGCTGCCGCTGTTGTGGTTGTTGCAGTGGCGGCTTGATTTTTCATGTGGTTTAGGAGGAGAGTTGAAGATTCGCGCTCAGTCACCTATGATCCCTTGGCTGAGAGGGACATATAGAGGATGAACAACCTTAGATACATCTATGAATCTGATGATGTGCACCGTGTCAACCTTCTTAGAATGAGGAGGGCCTATTTTTTTCAACTTTGTGACCTTTTCCGTAGTAGAGAGCTTATCACTGACAGCATACATGCATATGTTGAAGAACAAGTAGCCATGTTCTTGTATGTTGTTGGTCACAATGAGAGGTTTAGGGTGGTTGACTTTACCTTCAGGAGGTCCGCAGAGACAATTAGTAGGTTCTTCCAGAAGGTGTTATATGCGGTAGGAGAGCTGAGGAATGAATTGATTGTCTTTCCTACTACCAATGTCCATCCTAGGATCCTTGGGAGCAGAAGGTGGTACCCCTATTTCAAGGTTGGTATCCATAATTTATCATACATAGGTCTCATGCATTATTAGTTTAGTGTCAATGTTCACTTGCACTTATGTTTTTTTCAATTAGGACTGCATAGGAGCAATTGATGGTATTCATGTATTAGCTAGAGTGCCTGTGAAGATGCAAGCTGCCTTTAGAGGCAGGAAGCACACCATCACACAAAATGTGTTGGCAGCCGTGGACTTTGACCTCAGATTCACCTATGTGCTTGCTGGTTGGAAAGGATCTGCACATGATGCTCTTATCTTGTCTGATGCTCTTGAAAGAGATGATGGCCTTAGAGTGCCACCAGGTATCATCCAAACCAAAAAAAAAACTTTGACACTTTGCTTAATCCTAAATAAAACTACTAAAACATGTTCCTATCTGCTAATTTTTAGGTAAATTCTATCTTGTCGATGCTGGCTATGCAGTGAGGTCTGGTTTCTTGCCACCATTTCGTGCTACAAGGTACCATTTGAGGGAGTTTGGTTCAAACCGACCTCAAAATCAAAGAGAGCTTTTTAATCTAAGGCATTCGTCTCTTAGAGTAACAGTTAAGAGGGCTTTTGGGACTTAAAAAATAGATTCAGGATATTGGACAACAAATCTTTCCACCCATACAAAACCCAAGTTAAGCTTGTTCTAGCTTGTTGTATTCTTCACAATTGGAGCACTTACCTCAACTGATGCTACAAAGAACCATTTGTCGCCTAACCAAGGCTGCACCTAGTCTGGAATAGCATAGGAGCCATGGTGATGGATGTGAGGCTTTGTTGATCTGTGTGGTGTAGACTTTAACAAAGGGTGATGGATTGTCACTTAGTTGATCTGAGCCCTAAAATACCTTGGATTGTCAGTTGATCTGAGACATTTCAGATGCTATTATTGTTCTTGTAGGAGTTCGTTTTTGGCCGATGATGCAAACTATAGCAATCTGAGGTGGTTGTGGGTATTTTTCCTGTTGTTGCTTTATTGTCTTCTTGTGTTTTCTCATGTCTTTCGTCAAACTATGGGATATGTCCATTCCCAAGCAACTGTTGTAGGCATGCCTATCAGATGGCTGGGATGGACGTGTCCCACACTTCCATGGGAGTCATGAACTTGCTTTAGTAATTTGTGTTCTTATTTGCCACCTGGGATGATTGCAGTTTTTGACTGAGGCTGATACAATTGTGAGATCCTTTTCATGCCTATGAAGATAACAGTGCCAGTTTGAGTAATGGATTATGCATATTGTTGACCTTGGACTTGTGAGGTACTAGAGCATTGTTTCTTCTATCTTCTGCTTATGCTTCTCAAGGCTGTAATCAAACCATGTGAGACATCCATGCCCAAGCAACAGCTGGATAATTCTGATGATCTAATGGCTGGGCTGGATGCCTCTCATGGTTTCATTCCTGTCATGATCTTGGTTTTCTATAATCTGTTTGAGGTTTGCTGCTGTCTATGTTTCTTAAGCTCCAAGTTCAAAGTCAAATGAAAAGGCAATTAAATCCGAGGTAAATCGATTGAACTATCCTTTATTTTGTCAACATCTTATACTTGCTTTTATGTGTTTTTAAGGGGCAAATGGCTTGGTATGTTGTGTACCATGGACGAGTACTTGGGGTATATTCAACCTGGGCTAGATGCAACGCCCAGGTAACTAGTTTTAAAAACAACAGCTACAAGAGCTTCCCTAACAAGAAGAGGCAGAAACATCATACTTAGAGTTTATGGGTTGTGAAGATGATAAAGTTTTTGTTAATCCTCTACCAAATGTGCTCAGCAACAAACCGGTGTTATTTGTTGTGGCTGTGGTGTAGTGTTTTCTGTTGCTGGTGCTCCTGTGGTTCGTTCTTGCTCGTTGCTACAACTGTCTGTGATGCTCCGATGCTCAAAATGCCATGGCTTGGTAAGTTGCTTGTAGGGGAAAGTAGCCTGGGGTCTATGCTTGAGTTTGGTCGTTTATTTTGATGATGCTTGAGTTTTTCATTGCTAAGCATTGTTATAGCTGCCTCTAATTGTTTTATATTGCCTGTGATGGTTTCAAAATGCCATGAAAACGTGTGGAGACAATGACCTTATGAGGAACTGTGACTTTTGGGCAACCAATCACGCCCTTGTTCATGATTTGCTGGGAGTACTATTATCATGTTTATGTCATTAGAAGCTCCAAGGTCATTGTCAATGCCAAGCTTGTTGAACTGAGGCAAAGTTATCTTTGTTTCCTTTTATTCTTCTTCATTCTGCAATAGCTGGTGGTAACCACACAAAACTCATACATGGGTACTCAGACATGGGACAATGCAGCCAACCAAACAAGAACTGGAATCACCAGTTCATACACCGAAACGGTGCAAATGGGGAACCAAATACGACGCTGCTCATCTGGTATCCTATACTCGGTTGCAACAAAACACACCCACTTGCATGCTTCCATCATGTTGGGAAGAGCCTGCACAGGCCCTCCATCCCGGATCACCAATACCGGAGCAATCAATCACTCCCTTGGTGATAGATTTGGAATTATCCTTCTATCCGATTTGGAGCTGTGTAGACGAAGCTGACGAGTGGGGTCCACCGGACAGCAATAGGAGTTGCGGGACTTGGTTGTCGGAGAGGGGGAGAGAGGAGCCAGGCAAGGACAGCAAGAACATTTTACGTGTCTATGCTGAATGGGCGCCAGCGTGTCGGACTGGCGTGACTTGCCACATGCGCAAATGTGGTAAATTAAGAACTCAAACTTCTCTCATCTGGCAAAGTTGTAAGTGCTATTCTAACAGTGATAATCAGATGAGCGCCGCTCTTATTAATGGGCCTATTCGCAAGTTGGTGTTGGTTTGGGCTAGCTGATGCTAGTTTTTTTTAAGAAAAACACTGTTGACCGACTGATTTGGGCTGGCTGAAACAACGAGCGAACAGGCTGAATAATGGTAAAAATATAAAAGCCCCGTCTTCTTCCGTGGGCCTCACTCTCCTCTCCTCTCGCGTGCCCGCGCCGCCGCGATCGCCAATCGCCATGGCTCCTCCTCCCAACTCCCGCCCGCCAACGCCGACGGCGTCAGCGGCTACGGGCGCCTCCTCGTCGCGAATACACTCGCCGTCGCTAAAGGCCGCGCTCGCAATGGCTCTCATCCACTACAACCGCCTTCCCGGCAAAGCCAACACCACCGCCACCGCCACCGCCGCCGCCGCAGGCACATCGCCCCCGCCTCTCCTCCACTGGAAGCGCAAGGTGCCATTCCCCTAGCAGCATTATCCCTCGGACTCAAACCCTACCCCCGCCTCTGACATTCGATCTCCTCCTCCCGCCCAGGCCAAGGACCGGAAGCGCGAAATCCTCCGCCTCCGCGAGGACCTCAAGCTGCTCCAAGGTATGTACGCCCACGCTAATCTATCTGCCGCTATCGTTCGGCTGGCTGAATCCCATTGCCGGCGTCGTGTCAATTGAGTTTTGTTATGGGAGCAGATGGGGCTAGCGGGGAGGAGATGGAGCCCCCGGTTGCGTCGTGCCGGTGCCACTTCTTCGACGGGTGCGGGGACCTTCCACCGCAGCAGGGTGGCGGTGGTGGGGAGCACTGGGTGGACGAGGTGCTGAGGAGGAGGTTTCTCAGACTCGGTATGTCTTCGGTTTGCTTCAATGTGTTAGTATTTTGAAATTTCTGTGGGCTGCTAATGAAATTTATACTTCTGTGATGTGTGACAGTGCGGTGGAAGGAGAAGCGACGGCGAGTGGATCGACCTCTTCCAACTTGTAGTTTGATTGGTTGGTTTTGCCTTGAATCTACTGTCATAATTTTGATGTCATTATGTCAAACATCAAAAATTTTAAAAGTCTGTAAACAACAACCTTGCCATTGCCTTGGACTGCATTTCTCCTTCAGTAGAAAATCTGTCCATGTGCAGTAGAAAATTTTGCCCTGTGACACTCATTTCTGATTATCTAGGGTTACCCTAGGAAGAGGAAATGTTATAATTGCTTGGGCTATAGTTTCAATTGTTTCACTTCTCCAGATTTCAACAGTGAGGATGAGATGCAGCAGCTCAGCATGTCGACTGATTTCCTGGTGGAGCTATCAGACGGCATTTTGGCCAAAGTAAAATTCTATCATTTGTTCACAACTAAGATATTTTGTTTCATCTTTCTAAAGGTAAGATTCGCTTGTGCAGAGAGAAACTGGCCCCTCATTTGCTACATTTTCTCACCAAGCAGTAGATTTCATTTTGGGTAAGTTATAATTGAGCTGTTATGTGTTTGTGCTCTGACCATTAATCTTTGACAAAAACAGAATGCAATGAAATGAAAAGTATGAATATATAAATGATACTCATGTTGCATATGCAATCTACGCTTGGTTGAAACTACCATGGGTAATCATTAATCATTTGGTAATCATGTTCCCTGTTCAGCTACACTGAAGAACATTCTTTCATCAGAAAGGGAAAAGGAGCTAGTTGGGGAGATAATCGATGGTTTAGTGACTCGTTTGATGAAAAGGATGTGCACTGTTCCTGAAAATCCTGGTACTTCAGATTCAGGTTACACTTGGTATATTTATTTTGTATTTGTTTTCCTAGACAGAAGGGCGGGCCTGGTGCAAGCAGTAGAGTTTTACCGCCTGTGACCGGAAGGTCCCGGGTTCGAGTCGCGGTCTCCTCGCATTGCACAAGCGAGGGTAAGGCTTGCCACTGACACCCTTCCCCAGACCCCGCACAGAGCGGGAGCTCTCTGCACTGGGTACGCCCTTTTTTATTTGTTTTCCTAGACAAACACATTTAAAGTAATGACATGGTGCAGTGAGCTGTACATAAACTAAGATTTTATTTTGTAGCATCACTGCTTGTCCATATGTTTGTTGGGTAGTGCACTTAATCTTCAATCAAGTTGATTGTAGTTTGGGCTCCTAAGTTATTCTTTGTTGATTCATGTCCATTGTTTCATATTTTGCTGTGAACATAAGCCTAGTCCCTTTGTTCTGCAGTAGAGCACAAGGGCCCTGATGCTTCGAGGATCTGTTTTTTTAATATTTTTTTCTTTCTGTGTCCACATCTCTCTTAAGTTGAGTGTTAAGTTAAACTTGTGAAGTTATGGTCTCATGGACAGTATTTTCCAGTAGATACTGAAATGCAAAATTAGTATATCTTCCTTAACATTCCAGTTTCCAATGAATCCGAATGCAATAATGCATTGCAGTTCCAAGTTTCATCTGCATGAGATTACTATGAGTATTTAGCTGTACTTTACATACTATCCCCATGTCGAGTACACCTTAGGTATTTGATTTTTAGTCCTCATGATAGTGGTACCAAGTATGATAAATTAGTTGGAGACTTCATTACTTTTATGTTGTATATGTAAAAAATCTTAGTGTTTTCCCATTATTTTTACTTCATGCTTTATTTTCATCAAGTCTGCTATCTATGTGGCCATATGTTCTTGTTTTCCTTAGTTACTTTTTATCATTTCGTTACTGAGAACTGAATGTTAAATAAACGAGGAACATTAAGCTCTGTATTCGACAATCGACAGACATGTCTGTTTGCTTCCTATTATAACATATAGCCTATTGATTTCTATTCCTTCCATCTTGTTCAATATTTTGCAGGATCAACTGGCTGCTCAGATGCCCAGTTCTCTGTGCAGCATTTATTCCGTAAGTTGGGAAATGATGAATTCATTGGTCAGCGGGTAATCCTTGCAGTTTCTCAAAAGATCTCAAATGTATCTGAAAGATTGCTCTTGGTTGATCCGTTTGATGATGCTTTCCCTGATATGCATGACAATATATTCATCATGTAAGCTGATCTTCATTTCTTTCTGATTTAAATTTCATTCGAAACCTTAAGTCAATCATGAGTGTCCACTGTGTTCTTGAGAGTTGAGAATAAACATTGGACTTCTTTAGCACTGAATTATGGATGGAAAAATAATTATTACTTCAGTAGTTTGCACATGGTATATTTTTTCAATGCACAATAGTTCATATATAGAGGAAGTGTCAGACTGTCAGTAGCCTAGTTCTCCTTATATATTTGTATGGTCACTGGTTTTATATTTTGGCTAACATGTTGCTGGTTCTGTTGAGATACACTCAAACATCTGAATCTTGTTTCCCTTTTCTGTTGGCTTTATCCATTAATTTTCATTCAAGACATGCTATGCTATGATATTCTGAGTTGGCATAATTCTGAAAGATTGTAGTTATGATTCAGCTAGTTTTATCTATGAGGGTCATCAAAACTAGGACAATATCTCTCTAGGTACGCCATTTCTGAAGCAAATTCTATTGATGCCTATCTAGTAACTGTTTATATGGATTATGGATTGTATTCTTGCTATAACCATAAAGATTTGTGTGTGTGTGTGTGTGTTAAAGTTGGACTCTAACTGTATCACTATATGCTATGCATCTCATTTTGTCTCATGTTGCAGGATTCAGTTACTCGAGTTCCTCATATCTGATTACATGAAAGTTTGGCTATGCTGCGAGCATATGGACAAAAGTTAGTGCATTCGTGCCCCCAACAGTCATATTTTCTATTTGCTTTGCTATATGAATTGCATTGTTAACATGATGGTGGAAAACATTGACTCACTTGAATTGGGGAAAAGAGACCACATCCATTGTTTTTAGTTTGCTAAATTCTTCTGGTTCTTGTAACTGTTGTTAAATACCTTTCATTTCTGTATTATATCGTACTGCATAATTAATTGCTGTATTTTGATTTACAGACATAATGTAGAAAGTACATTGACTGAATATTATATTCTTAATCACAAATCTCAATGGGAAACTACTGAAAGATACATGCACCTGATGCCAGTGCAAATACTGGTCCATCATTGTGGGTCACTAGAAGAGCTTAATTAACTTAAATAAAACTATTGTTCAGGGCTTTTTGAAGAATGTACCAGATCTGTTCTCAAGGCACGCAATGATTTGCGAATCCTGGAAAACATGAATGGGCTCTATGTGGTGTACATTGAGCGTGTGGTCGGAAGGTTGGCAAGGGAGGTGGCTCCTGCTGCACATCAGGGGAAGCTGGACCTAGAAGTCTTCTCCAAACTGTTGTGCTGAGAGTGCCTGCATCTGACTTTCCAAGCCTGACCCGGCCCGCTAAATGCTTAGGCCGATTCAAAACCACGATATCATTGCTCCACTTAGACTATGCGTATTTACATTTCTGTTTATAAGACAAACTTTGGAATCTGGTAGTGGGTCTACTTGTGTGGCCTGACATTGTTTCATGTCACTATTGACTATTCATAGTTGATTACTTTCATTTCGCTGACTTAACCCCATATCCTGTGAGTTGCTATAGACATGCTTTGTCTACTCTGCAAATTTCGGTGCATCTAAGGATTTCTGCACTTTGCCTTTACTCTCTACTGCTAGTTCAAAACAAAATGCTTTGTCTACTCTGCAAATATGATAGTATAAAGTAAAAAAAACAACTTTTTTAGTTTTTACTCAAATACATTCCATTCATGTCGATAGGTATTGTTTACACCGGAATTTGGAAGGAGGATTTCAGAAGCACGAGAGCTTCTAAAATCATGTCAGCAAGGAATTAATTGCGTGTGGATCGGAACCAGCTGATTCGGATGCGGCACTAGAATCGGCTTTCTTTAAATAGCGTCAGCAGATAACGACGGAGACTGATTGGCGTCGGGACGAGACATGCTGGACTCTGCAAAAGGAAAGATTAGAGTCCAAGTTATCTTAAATTAGGAATGTTTTCATTTTATGCCAAAGGTTGTAACAAGTCGTGCTTGAGTAGTATTTATGTTTAGACTCCGGGTATAAATAACAAACCCCGGCTATTGTAAAAACAACAATCAATCAAATACAAAGTCAATTACTTTTTTCGACTCCGGCCACCCCTTAGGAGTAGGAGTAGAGTAAATCTCGGCGAGTTCTTTAACAAGTACGGCTGCATCGATCCGATCGACATCCACTGCTTGTCTGTAAGTACCGTCATGGTTTATATCTGTGTTCGTATGGCTGCATCGATCCGGTCGACCCTCATTGTGACTCTGGTATAGGCTAGTTATCGATTCTTGTCTAATTCAAGTATAGCCTGTGTTATTTTGCCTCACACCCCACTGCTTGAATTAGATCAAGGTCAAGTTATCGGCTCTACCTTAGTATGACAGTCTTTGGTAGATTTATTAAGTTACCGATATTGCTTATTGCTTTCATGGTTTATCTAATTATAGCAATATCACTCTGCCCGATTGAGATTGATCTGGATCGGCCTTATATCTTGTTTAAACTCATCGTTTGCTAATCTAAAACTGATCTAATCTACATCTTAAGCGATGAGTTATGTTTTTATCGGCTGTTTTGCATCAATCTTAGTCGTGCATAGCGTGCGGTTATGGCATGTTCGACCTTGAGTAGATCTATTAGTTAATGAAAACCGTTCCATGGTCTGTCATCACGGCCTGTGGGATTCTACCTCTCACCCCCACTGTTGGCACCGTGGAGTGGGGATCGTTAGTTGGTAGACCCGTTCTTGGGAAGGCATGACCTTAACTGTGCGCTATGCCTAAATCGGCTGTTTAGCCGATATCGAATGCTTTCACGAACAGTTCACATTACGAGATCATTGAAGTAGAGATAAGTTGAAAGATATGTTAGCCCTATGATCTTGTTATTGTATTACGGCCTGCATGATTCTACCTCATGCCCCACTGATATTAGTAATGAGTTAGGGTCGTCGAGTCTATTTTTGTTTCTACGGACTGCATGATTCTGCCTCATGCCCAACTGGTCATGGCGATAGATGAGATCTAACATGTTTACTAGATTTATCTTTATTAAATGGTTAAGAGGTGTTGAATTATTTCTTTATATAAAAGGAGTTCGGTTACTTGTAATCATTGGCTCAGTACAAACCGATCATCATTGATATCTTATTGCCATTGATTAATATTTGCTTAAATAACATTTATCCTGAATGATAACCGATTCTTCTTATACAACCCCATGAGCTTTAATCGATTCATTCTTGTGAATATGCTGGGATTGACTATTTAGTCGATCTCCTCTTATATCGGCTCTCAGAGCCGCACATTCGGGACTATCTGGCAACACCGGCACGTTCCACCCTTAATTACTGATGAGCTTTCTCTCCTTGTCAATTGCAGGGTCAAATTGACTGGCACATCTCGGGAGGATTGCGTAGGATCAACCACCCTTACGCTGAAGCTAGGCGGATCTGTTCCATCGAGCGGACCCTTCCGGCTTGCTGCATGTATCCTCGGCACGGAGATGAAAATTCTGTGTCGACACACGTTTCTGGCACGCTCGGTGGGACCCCACAATCGTCATGGCGGCTCACAACAACGACAACATCCTTATGGTACACTTTGAAGACCTACCTGACGAAGATAAGGATACCATTGGCAAAGCTACAGAAAAATTTCAGAAGAAGTGTTTGTTGTCCTACACCAAAACACGTGACAGCACAATTATTCAAAAAATTTCACTACCAAGAGTTCTACTATATGGACAGACAGACACAGTCGAAGCTGAAGACAGGTGTTTCTTTACGGAAGCCATAGACAAATCTGTTCATGATGCCATATCAAGCCGCAATAAAGCTTTCATTAACGCATTCCACAATGCCATGAAAGAGGCGATTCATGGGATTCCAATTGGTCAGGTTGGATCGACTTGTTACAACATTCCAGATCTGTCAACTTAAGGGACTAATCAAGTCGGTACCAGCCATCAAGAAGCAGTGCCAGCTGGTAATGGTGACGTCCAGACACTTCAAGGATCATCTGAACAAACTCTAGGTACTGCTATGAATCAGATACGGTACAATCCTAGACCGTTAATACAGCATGTACAACAGCCGACGAGGCAAAGTCAGAACCAGATGATCAATTTTGGCACATCAGGCCACATACCATCGTCGGCTCAAAAAAAAGCACCATCAATTCAAAGGATCCGTAGAGATATAGATCCGTATGTCTATAATCAGAGACTTCAAGCAGCAAGCCAGCAAAGGACCCAACAGATTGAGATTCCACAAGGCTATCACCATGGAACGGATTATAACACCCTCCATATGATGCCAAATCCAGGATATCAAGGCACGCGGGATTTCAATCCACAGATGGGTCAGCAAGTACCGAGAAATCCAAATCCGCAAGCTGACGAGTTGTTGTTGAAGGTGACCGAGATGATAAAGAATCAGTTCGGTCTGAAGCCAAAAGGAATGACTTTTTCGTACAAACGCCCATATCCAGAATGGTATGATTTGGTCGCTCTTCCTACAAATTATAGGATCCCAGAGTTCGCCAAGTTCACTGGTCAAGACAGTACAATCACAATAGAACATGTCAGTTGATATCTTACACAATTGGGCGAAGCGTCAGTTGAGGATGCCCATCGAGTTCGTTTCTTCTCCTTATCCCTGTCAGGGCCAGCCTTCACTTAGTTTTCGTCACTACCAGTCAACTCCATTATCAATTGGGCTGACCTAGAAAAGAAGTTTCATACATATTTTTACAATAGGACTGGAGAAAAGAAGATAACTGATTTGACAACCATGAGACAGAGGACTAATAAATCGGGCACTGAGTTTCTTCAAAGATTTCGAGAGACTAAGAATTTGTGCTTCTCATTGAGCTTGGCCGATGATCAGCTAGCTGCTTTAGCCATCCAAAGAATGCTGCTAATGTGGAAAGAAAAGCTGCTAGGACAAGAGTTTGACAACTTGGGACAATTGGCTCAATGGGTAGCAACGCTCAATAGCCAATTTCAGAGTATGCACAGAGATATCCGATTCCAGAAGAGCACCACAGTAGCCGAAGCTTATGATCCATACTCAATTGATGACGGCTATGAAGATGAAGAAGAGGAGGTTGCTGCAGCTGAATGGAATTGGGGCAAGAAGACAGTAATGGTGCCAAATCCTTGGGGGAAGAGGAGTCGAGGAGAGCTATGACTTTGATGTCGCAAAATCAAACAAGCTCTTTGACTTCTTACTTGAGAAGGGCCAAATCAAATTGTCGGACAATCATGTTATGTTGCCCTCTGAACAGTTGAAGAATAAGAAGTTCTGCAAGTTCCATAATGCTACTTCTCATTCCACTAATGAGTGCAGAATTTTTCGGCAGCAGATACAGAGGGCTATTCAGTAAGGGAGGCTCAAGTTTGATACACCTTGGAAGATGAAGGTGGATGATAATCTTTTCCCAGGAGATCAAAATATGGTTGAGGTTGGGCTATTCAAAGGAAAAACTATGGTCCTAACATCGGCCAAATCAAAAAAAGATGGAACAGTCGATCCCAAGATGCAAATATCGGCTGATGAATACAGAGAGATTAGAAAACGTCGTGATTAGCAAAAGAGCCGATATGAATAGGGGGAAACGTCAAAGGATGGAGCGACGAAGCCACGAGTCACGTCTCGGATCCTGTTGAATAAGTGGTGGCGGCAGAAGGAAAAAGATTATCAGCGATGGTTAGAGGATAAAAAATACCAGCGTCAACCGGAAGAAGAAAGGTATGAAAGGAAGCAAGCCGAATCGCACTGGAATTATTCTTTCTTTATATATTGCTGGAACGAAGGTTTGAAGTTGCCTACCAGACATGACTGTCCAGAATGCAGCAGCCAGTATTGGGAGTTTAGGCAATCTCAAATCAACCGCTGGTCTATCCATGCCCAGGATGCATATCATCATAATAACATGGATCGGCGCCTAAAAATAAAAGTATTCATGATTGGCTGGGAAAAAGAGTTGTTGACCAAGACTGGGCTGATCATGAAGAAGGAAGCAACCAGAGGGAACATGTCTGGCAGGAAGGCCAATGGTGCCCCGGAGGATTGATAAGAAGCTAGAAAAGAAGGGTGCAGTGCCTAAGGAATAAAGAGATGGAACAGGCTCAGGCATCCAGTAAAACTCAAGTATGGCGTACTAAGCAAACAGCCGATAGAAAGCAAGCATCGGCTAATATCCAAATGGCTTTTCTGTTGCCATCAGAATTCAGAGCTTCGACAGATCAGGAAGTTTGTTTAGACTTTGATGAATCAGAGTATGAAGAGATGGTTGCCAAGT